GGAACATGGTCTGCTCTTGGCTTGGATGCCAAGTGAGAAAGGTGTGGTTAAATCAGAGGTCCTCAGATCCTAAACCAAAGTCAATGTATGTCTGGGCTCAGGCTCAAGGACTAAAAGCTCTCTGAAATGTCTCTGTTTTGGGTCCTTGCACATTGCCTGTCACCTCTGAAGTGCACAGCACACTTCAGGAGGGGAAGCCTTTAAAAACTATTTTCTCGTTTAATATCATTACAGAGTTGATTACAGTTCACAATAAGCACCACTAGAAACTCTTCAGAGAAGGATCAACAGACAGAGGGGCATAACTTTGAAAACATCACTGTGTAGGCAGCATCTAGGGACAGCCCTGAAACTGTCCCCACAGTCAAACAATCCTGGAAGAAGTAGGCATTCATCCTTGTTAACTGCTGCTGGGAAAGAAGGCATCTGAGCAGCAGGAGGAAGAGATTAGCCTGATTTTTACTAAGTCTCATTTATAGAATAATAGAATCACCAATGTTGGAAAAGACTCACAGGATCACCCAGTCCAACCATCCACTGATCACCAATAGTTCTCACTAAACCGTCCCTCAACACAATGTTTGCTATACCAGTTTTTGTTTTGTTTTTAAATCAGCAATGTACAGTGCCCCCGAGCCTGATTCAAAACCCTGTAAGTTGGGCCCATGAACATTAGCAAGATTCACTGCAGTCCTGCTGCCATTGTCTGGGAAGAGCTGATTCCAGCTGCTGTAGAGAGAGAACTGTTAAGAGGCTCTGCAGATATAGGATAAGCTGCCCCTATAGGTTTCTCATCACCTTTATTGAATGTTGGGTCAAACATCATGCACAGAAGTTTTTGTGATCAATGAACCCATGATACACTAGCTCTGCCCAAGGGTTTATTCACAGTTAATCCAAACATACTTGATTCATGAAACTGGTGGGAAATCTCCTCAGAAGAGACTTTGCAGAGATTTCTGGCACTTTTTCTTTCAGCACTGGCTGAAAATAGAGCAGAAAGAGATTCCAGCCTCCTCCCAGTTATTCCGTCAGATCTGGAGAGGGGTGACTAATTGACAATAAATAGTAGTTTCTTCACTTTCTGCCTTTTGTTGTTGTTGTTATTTTCCCCTTTCTCCTTCGTTTTTCAAAACTATGTGTTAAGCAATTTCTGCAAAGAATTTCAGGTAGTTTGTGAGCATTAGCGATCTGCAATATAAGCAGGCGTGACAGGACACATAGGTTACAATACAGACTTCAAAGTCTTTCATCTGAATGAATATACACCATAGAAACAAGTTTGCAGTTCAGACTTGCACAACTCTCAATCTGAAGCACTTCATGGGTATTTTGGTTTATTGCCTCGAAGCAGCCCACTCCCATAAATATTCTTCTCATGGCATCCATATGCTTAAGCACTCCTTAGCCAGGAGATGTGGAAAGAACAGAATAGAATCGAAGCACGTTACTTACGGAAATATCTGCAGCAGGGAATATCCATTATGGGAGAAGTGCAGCAGTCCAAGACAAAAAATGTGTGCTAGAAACTGCTTCAAAATGTTATTGAGGTGAATGTAAAGAACAAATACAAGTTTGTTTCTTCTTGTATCCACAGCAGCACTCATATACCACTCTGACATGCAGGAAACAAACGGCAAAACAAGCACTTGTCCCCACAGTAACATTGTTCTGTTTGTTGTCCCTGAAGGCTTTCAGTTAACCTTCGTCCATGGGTTTGGCCATAGAAATATAGTGGTGAGCTTCCCTGCTCTGATTTCTGTATGCAAACTTAATGCTTTTTGAGCATTATTTAATTAATCATTTTCTTTAGGGGGTGTCTTTCATATTTTCTGCACTACTCACTGCCTTTGTAAGTGTAGAGCTACTGATAGGATCTCTTCCCAACCACCACACGCTCCAGAGCAGATCCTGTAGAAACGAGTGATCCTACAGAGAGGACAAGCAGCTGAAAAAAGGAGCTGTGATGCAGCTAGGCTTATCCAGACCTCATCTCTCTGAGCCCTAAAATTTCCTCTTTTTCACAGGTGCTGGCCAAACCTTCCATTCCCTGTTGGGGAATGAAAAGCATCTCAAGGAATTGCGCTGGATGAAACTGACTTTCCCACAGCACTCAAGCATCCCAAAGTCTCCAGGATCTCCCTTTCTGTTCAGTCCAGAGAACGTAATTATTTCAGCCTCGGTGCTCAAGTTGCTAAACCACCTGTGGCATGTTAGTTATTAAATAAGGCTGACTGACAAACAGTGCACTGATTATTTTAGAGAAGATAAGCCAGACATACAAGCTGCTTGTGGCAGAGCAATTCTGAAGACTTGATACGGTGCTATGTGGTCCCTTGAGAGACTGACTCACCTCTCACCCTTTTGGTGAGAAGCAAAAGAAGCTGCTTTGCTTTGTCTGTGCATTTTCTGTCTATAGTAAAATGGCTTGGTTGGAAGAATCTCTTTCTTGGGTGTTGGCTATGAGGATGGCTGGGAACCCCAGGCTTCAAGGGTCTTCTATACACCTAGAAAAGCCAAGTGTGTTCAAGCTATGTGAACTGCCCTTCACAGACTCTTAGAATCAAAGCCACAAACATTGGGTGATGAGCATGGAACCCCTTAGAGAGCATGAGGTACATAAGGGAAGGAATTCAGGCACTGATGACTGTAGGCTGACCAAATAGAGAGAGGAAGAGAAGCAATATGGTGTGAGGGGTGCTCTGATTGCCTTGCCATAAAATAGTAGATAGAAATGTAAAAAGCTTTATAAATTATTCATTCAGCCTCAGAGTTCATGCACAGTAAGAAATCTGTAAAGGGAAACATGCTCCAAGCAAACAGCACCTCAGAAATGCTGAGGTAGTTCTCCTGCACATTAACATGTCAGGTCAGTGAAAACAAGGCTGGACAATGCTTCAGTTTATAAAAAGGTCAAAACTATTTTCAGCCAGCTGCACTTGGCATACAGAGCAGCTCCAGCTCAGCACGTTTGCCCCCAGTGCTCCATCCCTATGGGATTTTGGAACTGCTACTTTGGCCACAGTCAGTAAAAATAAACAAATCTGTATTTTTTAAAAGAATTCTGTAAGACAATTGCAGTAAGAAACTTCTGCAAGTCCAGAATAAATAGCAGACAGTTGGATCTAGTGGTTGCCACACAGAAATAAACCCTGAGGAAAAACCACACAGGGCAACCAAGGATGGAAGAAATCATAACCCAGAGAGAGAAGATCTTGCAGAAACACTGCAGTCGGAATGAAGGTGGGAAGGATGAGGCTGTAGGACTGGGCAATGAGCATGAGGCAGCATCCTCAGCCTCTGGGCTTTGCAAGACCACTGCCAGATGCTCCCACTGCTCTGTCTTACCCCAATGCTGGACACAGCCATGGCAAGAAGCAGGAGCCAGCTCACCCAGCTGGGCTCTGTGCAGGTGAAACAAGGGGATCCTGTGGGGAAAGATGCAGCCCAGGCCACCTTCCTCAAGTCCCTTACTTCACCAGGGTGAAAGATGGATCATTATGTATGAAAACAGAACATTTTGGTTGCAAAATAAACTCAGGGAGTCAACGGCTGCTGGAGCAAACAGCCTATTTCATGAGAATTTAGCAGGGGAATAATTTAATGGAGCTCAGATAAAAGGCAGTCACCTGGAACTCAGATTCAGAAGCAATTGCTTTTTTTCTGAATTACTGGTTCGAAGGTTAAAGACGGAATATTCATCTGCACTTTTTTTTTTGCACATTTTCCCTGATCAGTACACTAATGAACTCCAAACCATCCAGGGAAACTATTTCAATCTCTCCCCTACCTTCCAAGAAACAAGTTCTTTATTAAAAACAAACAATTGATTTTCTTCCTTGAGATCAGCATCTGCAAGTCTGGGTGCAAAATCAATCCTGGAACAAACAGGGGGCAATTCCCACTGCACTGATTAGGAGCTGATCCTTCTCTAAAAGATCCCTAAGGCTTCTTGAATTAACTGTATTGACTTAAAGTGGGTTTATCTTTAAATGAGTAATTGGTGAGCTTGGTTATCATTGGAAATGGCAGAGATTTCAGAAATGAGGGGGCCTTTCTTTGCATCTCAGTGCAACCCTCCTCAGGCTGAACTGTTTAAAAAATTACAGACATCTTATAACATCAGAACACATGCAAATAAGTATACATCCACGTTATGCCAGCCTTGAAGGATGCACCATCCTGCTCAGTGTTGGGTCACATACTAGGGTGAAGTTGTGACATGGCATACAGAGCTGCAGAAAAGCACAAGCAGGCCCAGCTCTGCGTTCCAAGGACACAGAGCTGGAGCAAAGCCTAGCTAAAAAACATTACATCTTGCAAGGAGCAAACAGATTTATGCTGGTGCTAAACTGCTGGGTGGCTCACTCCCTTGTATCTCATATAACTAGCACATCATTAGTAGCCACGAGAACCAGTGTAAGGGGAGACTTGGCTGATGGTAAATCTCAAGCACACACACCTTCTTAAAGCTTTTTGTAAGGATATGGAACAAATTGCCAATGAATGAGTACTGTGAAATATGTGGATGTACATCTCTGTTTGATGTCTCACTATCAACTAATTTCTGGGTGTTTTACAAGGCCTCTTACTGTGATTTCCTGACTCAAACCAAAGACAGAATTGCCAGCGTTTAAAACTAGAAATGAGAAAAAACTGATTCTAGGGTTAATTTTACATCCATAGGTAACCTCTTTGCCTCCACTTAGCATTCTAGAGATAAACTCCTGGACTTTGCAGCTCTACAAAAGCCCTTTCTAATTGAATCAAGCAGATTTAGATTATAGTGGCTGATTTTTTAAGCAGGAAGTAGGGAATCGCTTAGACCAGTGAAAAATGAGGGCTTGCAGAGGAAAGGAACTGAGAAGATTGTCTCCATGTAAGCAAAGAGAGAGATATTAACATTTCAAAATTATTCAAACACTCTGTTTCAAAGCTTTTAGTTAAGTTATGGTTTTTAAATCTCTGAACACATATTAAAAGGTCACAATTGAAATAAAACATTTCAAAAAACAATGTGACTGACTAAAGCCATGTCTTTTAATATTTCAGAATGTAGAAAGCTTGTTTTGCTTCAAAACAAAGATTTTCTAAATCTCAGACACACTGGTGAGATGGGAACATCTCTATGCCTCTAAGAACATTACATTCAGATCTTCTAAGGCTGGAGGAAAGTGCACTGCCAACACAGGCAGGGAGGGACAATACAGGTTTACATGGCTTGTTTACCAGCCAGCACAGGAGCACAAGCTCTGGGTTTAATTTCACTGATAGGGAAGGGCAAAGCACAAAGTGATGGAGAGCTGCCACTTGCTCCATCTAACGACCTCCATTCAGTCAGCCCTCCTTTGCTACGTGTTGGCCAGAGCAAACATCTCCACCAAGAAAGCATGCACCACTGAAACTGAAGCCACAGGGAGCCAAAATCTGCATCTGAGACAGATATTATGACTGACTCTGTCAGACACTGTGGTGAAGAAGGCTGATTCAGTTTGGCTCAAAAGTCACATCAGGGCAGAGCCATAGCTTACAGTGACTGAATCCCATCCCACAGTCATGCTGTCAAAGTGCTTGGTCCCTCAGTCCTTACAACAGATCCCAGTGATGTAAAGATATGCCAGATGCTGGTTCAGCCCCATTCATACAGAACAGATGACTCTGTCCATGCCAATGAAAGCTGTGGCAGATGCACTGGGTGGTTGCCTGAGGTAGCTAGTCTTGATGTGCAAGCCAGAAAAGGGCAGCAGATCTGCCCAAACCATAGGATGACCAAACACAACTTAGCACAGGGAGCAGTTCCTCTTTGCCATCAAAGGCTGGACAGATGGCTAGACAGCAGCAAGACCCCATCACTTAACACTTTACTGTAGGTCAAGTCACAAACTGCTTTCTTAGTCAAGAGTCATCAATGGCAGAAGGCTTCCTGCCTGCTTCCAGGCTAAGGAAAGAGCTTTGGGACCACAGGTTCATAATGCACAGCTGTACCTGGCCTGTGAAAGCAGGTTATGCACATGGTATCTTCCTCTCTGCATTTCTGGCCCATGCCCTATCCTGGCAGGCAGTAAGGAGGAAGAAAATATGTTATGTGACAAACCAAGGCAAGACAAAAATGGGAAGGTAAAGGAAAGCCAAAATTAAGACAAAGGGTCGGCTTACACAGTGCCAGAGCCAACCATATGCCTCTGAAAAGTAGAGGATATGAAAGGTCACCATTAGCTGTGGGATTTTCATGAAATAAATGTTCTTTGACTCCAGGGCGTACAACAGAAGCTCACTTCATTGCAACCTCTGCTTCTGGCATGCCCTTGAAGATTGTTTGTCCTTGAAGGCACTCTAGAACCATTGTAATGGACACACACTGTCAGCTGACAGGTGGCTTTGCCTCTGTTCTTCAGCACATGGAAGGCCATAGATACACAGTCCCTCCCGTCCCTGGTCTTTTCAAGGTCATGGCCCATCCCCGTTGGCTTCCAAGGAGGTTTTCTGCCTAGGATCTGAATTTATACTACTCCAAGCTGTGTTAACAAAGAATCCTTTAGACTGATATACAAGACTTGACATATAAATTGTCTGAGATGTCACTGTATAGCCATCACTTGATATTCTGACATGACCCTCCAGCCCAAGGACTAGTCAACTTAAACTGATTTATTCTCATACTGCCACCCATTAGAAAAAAAGAAAAAGGATTGAAGTTGGAATAATATTGTGTAAAGCTTTCAGTCATACTGCACCGTTTCCCTTCTCTTGCTTGAAAATTGCAATGAGAGCACTTTGCAAACAACTTTCACGAGAGTTTAAAAAAAGCAGTCAGATGGGAAGGTGGTTTGAAAGACAGGGCAGCAACTCCTACTCAAGACAGGTCCACCTCAGGAATTCAGCTCCTGCATGCAGCCATGCACACAGCACAGCTGTCAGATGGGAGTGATGCATTGCACATAGCATTCAAACTGTTTTATGGGTGGTCTTGTTCCGCAAGAGGATGGCAAGAGACTGTTCAGCCATTAAATGAGCAGAAAGAATAATAATTAACACGTCTGGATGTTCTGCTGAACAGATTCTCCTGGGAGCCAACGGAATTGCACTCCCGACATATGTAAAGTGGAAATCCCAAGATGAACTGTGAGCATAAAACTCTTGTCTCCAGACAGCTGCATGAAGGGCATCCTGTGACCGACCCAGGCTCCTTTGGTCAGACCTAAAAAGCAGGAAAAACAGAAGCTCTAACTTTGAAAGCTATTTAAGTGTGAGCTGCTATCGTGTTGCTCGTCTGAGTCAGTGCAGCTTGTGAACAGCATCATTTGGAGAAGCAAACTTTTCTGTGCCACATGTGCTCTTCAAACTAGAGCACAGCAAGATCACAGTGAATACTTTCAACTTTTTACAGCAAGGCTGTCAAGAGAAATGAAAAATAAAACTGGCTGCTCTAGGCTTTTGTTACAGCTTGAGGGCATCAAACTCTGAGCTTACCAGTTACTCATATTTCTGTCACTTATTACATAAAGGGCACTTCCCTGTTCTTCCTCACTTCTCCTACAACTGGTCATGGCTCAGTCTGAGATAGAGAGATGAGGATAAGGCACAGCTGTGGGAGGGCAGGTCTGTCACAGGAGCAAGTCCTCCACCCTCATACAAGGTGAGTCCTCTTTCAGACACCATTTACCTCACATCAGTGTCTCATGCCACAGAAATTCTCTCTCTATTCTCCCAAATTCCCCAACACACCCATCCAGAAAACACTCTGCCACACTTCAAACACCTCCCTAGTCAAGCCTTTCCTTTTTAGTTGCCTGACTACCAGCCTGAGCGTAGCAGGGCAGCCCATTTGCAGAACTCAGCACTCCAATCCATTAACCTTTTCCACACTGTGTGGGCTAGACTATTTCTTATCACCATCGCCCATTTTAAGTAATTTTCTAGAAACTCAGTTCACTCTTCTGCTTGCCTAAGGAGATATAAAAATTTACACCTATTGTAAAAGCATGAATAAAAGCTGATTGCAGAAAGTAAAGACAATAATGTGCTCATAATACTAACAACCTCACTTGCACTGCTTTTCTGTTTGAAGAAAGATCCATCTTATCATCAACAGGGTGTTGATTTAGATTGCTACTAAAATTGCCACTGTAAAAGCAGACCCACTTTTATTGCATTAGTACAGAGAACAGTTATGTACAATTTTGACTAGTATGCCTATTGCCAGCAGTCATCAATCTATTAATTATCAAGCCAAACAGGTTCTGCAGCAGGAAGTGACATATTTAGTGCACCTGGGATCTTTTTTGAAGAGGTTAAAATTTACAAAATAAAAATCAACAAAGCCTAAGTAGAAATCAGCAAAGTTGGTAACAGAATCATGTAGGGAAAGCAAAATGTTTGAGAATGCAAAGCAAGGGTACTGCTCTAGTACATAAAAGACTCACATTAATTTTCCAGCTCCGTACAGACTTCTGATCTAACTAATGCTAGTTTTTCAGGCTTAGTGACTGATTTTTATAACGATACAGTGCATTTTGGCCAAATAAGGAGAGGAAGAACTACACTCCCTGCTAAGATGCAGTCACCTTCAATGGTAGGCATGTCCATTTTAATTCTTCTTTACACAATTCTCTCGAGATCTCATATGCAAGATGCAGCTCACGAGTTTTCTTTGGTAGCTGTGTTGCCTGCCTCTTGCTTAAGGTATTTCTCACTTCATCTCTGTAATCACTACCAGTAAAGCAGTAGCTCGTGTGTGGATGCACAGGAGGAAGAAGCTTCTGTGCATTTGCTATGTAAACACTACCCCCCAAAATAAAGCAGGAAGGAAACATCTTATACTAAAAAGCAGATACCATGATCTCTCAGTGATCCGTTCTAATAAATGGGAATATTAAACTGGAAATACATCCAGAAGCATTCCTGCACTGGTTTCAGTACATTCAGAATCAATGCACCCTTTGCTCAGTGCTCAAACTGCTCAGCGAGGAGAGCAAACCCTCTCTAGTCAACGGTGAACACTGTGACTGTGGGACTGCTACTCTCTGACTCAGCTAAGCGACAGTAGTTGGGTGAATTTTATCACCCCACCCAACTCATAAGCAGCTCAGCTGCAGCTCCTCGCCAGTTATACCATGTGGTCTGCAAGGGGGGTGTCAGCAGCAGGACTACAATGCAACCTGGGAAACACCAATTGAAATCACTTTTATGAATTGTCTACAGAAAACACATTTATAGATGAAAAGTACATTTATCTGAAGACCATGTCATTGATCAGAAGTCACTTGAATGCACTGATGGGAGATGGGAGAACACTCAGGATTCAGTACTTTTTGGTATGGCTTTGTTACCAGATCTGCGTAGACTGCCTGCCAATTGGGCTATGTACCTATTGAGGAGCATCAGTCTGATTGACAGATAGCCCTGCTAGAGCAGGCTGAGAGGGAAAACCACGTGCTTGAAAGGGGCATGGTAGGCATTGCTCTTTAGACTGCCACTCTGAGAGAAACCCATTGGCTGGAATTTTTTTGTGCGAGGGAAAATGACTCATCATACAGATTTCTAAGATAGTTCCTCTACCAAAGTAACAAAAACACCAACTGACAGACTATATGAAAGAAAGAAAATCCTGTAATTCAGCCTATTTCAGTGTGTAAGAGATGGCACCATAACAGGCAAATTAAGTTGTTAAGGTATCAAAGCAAGACCTTGTTTTCAATTCTCAGCTATGTCTCATCGTCCTTTCACAGTCTTGGGTAAATTACTTGACCTCTCATAGCTTGATTACTTGGCTTTTAAACAACTTCCGTAAGCATCTCTCTGTGGAGGTTTGTACAGCATCTAACTCTTCTTCTCTGACAATATTTTAGGGGAGGAAACAGCATCTTTTATCTGCTACTGTAAACACAATAATCACCAGCAAATTTTCACTGCATCTATAGTTCAAGAGAAGTGTTCTCATTCCCAGGCCATAGAAACAATCAGGACAAACTGAATTCCTTAAGCCCCCATCAAAGGAGCTTCAGATGGGACACTGGCTGTCTGGAGGTTAAAGGTTTTCAGCATGCCTTCGATGGTGCTGCCATTGCCTGTGGAGTCTTCAGCCCAAACAAAAGAGCAAAGACACTCCAACTCTTTGGGGACTGAGAGCAAAAGAAATCTTCCTTTGAATTGAGGAAATCTTTAGAGAAGGGACTTCAGACCTCCAGTTATAAAGGAAATAAAAAGCATCTGCACTGACAGCTCCAGTTAGGAGTAAAAAACACAAAGGGCTTTGAAAAACAACCAGCCTTTCATCTTCAATAGCAAGCTCAACAGCTCTGCACCAGCTGCTCAGTAAACAGCATAGCAAGGGAAAGCAAATCATTGGCACCAAATGCATTAAACATGGCAGTATCTTCAGATGACATATTTTGTAAACTTCCTCCTTACAAGTTATGTTATTTCTTAAATCTAAAGAATTACTTGCTGTTTAGCAGCAGAGCCGTTCTTCCATACACTTGGGCAGGTTCATTACCCGTGTTTCTTGCTGAGTTTCCAACAAAGCAGGCTGGCAGCTTGGGTAAGAGAAGATCTAACAGGACACCAGGTGACTTGAGTTCATCATTTGTCTCTGCTTCACATTTTCTGAAGGCCAGCAAAGCACTTAATCTTTGGGCCAAGTTTTCACCTAGAAAGGGAAAGAACAATCACTGGCAAACTTTATTGACTCTGAATCCAGAAGAACATTTCAAGAGACAAGTATATAGATTCTGCCTGGCAAACTAAAGCCTCCTGATCAGAGTGGGGTTTTTTGTTTTGGTTTGTTTTTTTTGTGTTTTTTTTTTTAGTTCTGGACCAATAGAAATTGTTCAGGAACATCCAAAAACCTGCATACACTCCCACGTTTCCATTTTCTCTCCTCATGTAGAAATCTGTTGGGATTCTGGTCACTTAGACTTCCTAGTGGGGAGGGAGGTTATAGCTCACATCTTCCTGCTGGTCTTTGTGAAACGATCATCTAAAGACTTTCTTAACATTGGCCAGTCTAGCCATTTCTGCCCTACCAGCTACAGCTAAGCCAGATGCTGTTCCCTTCATCATGCATGGAGATATGACTTCTCAGGAGCTACCTTGAGAAGAGCCCAGCTGTCTCACTGTGCTAAAATAGCCACTTCAATTTGTTCTCTCCACTTTGACCAATGAAATAGAATATGGATCCCTGCTCTCCTCCTTCATCCAATACAAAGCAGCCCCAGGGCTTCAGCAGACAGCATTAGGTGTCTACACTTGGAATAACCCTGAACACATGTCCAGGTGGTATCTGCACACTCATTAACCATTCCAGTATGAAAAACAGCATCCCTACATCCCACATGTCCTTGGGGCTGCAGCTCATGTCTTCAAAGCAGGCAGTGCTGGCAGCTCAACCCCAGGTACTCTGCTGCAGAAATACTATGCTGGCAGAGCCCTTTAGCAGCTCAGCTGCTATTAAATACCTGCTAGGCAGAAGAAGGCCTTGCTCCCACTTAGTGCAGCCCTAAAAATCTTACCTTCTTCCCTCAAAGCTGAGTCATGAAGAAGGCATTGCCAGTGGAAAAGCTGATGTTTTACATACCTTGCTGTGGCAGGTCTTTATGACTTGACTTGATGAGTTTCCTTTGGTCAGAGGGACGGCATTGTCAAAAGGGAACCACAGACTGGTTGGTACGAAGCTAAGTTTCAGCAAGCTCTTGCTTGGACCTGGTCAGTTCTGCCTTCCTGTTGTAAGGAAACAGGATGAAGAGGTGTCATCACACGGCCAGAGCAGAATATAATGGCAAAGGATTCTTCTACTTTAGTCTCAAAAACAACCTTCTTCCATTCTCTGGGAACAGAAGCTGTCAGGCAGGGTAATAATGATGAAAACACCCTTCCTCACCCCCCCCCCCTTCTTCCCCTTGTTAGGCTAGTGTCATTATCTTGTTATAAAAAAGGGGAAACTGAGACAGGGAGCAAGATGACAACTTGTCCAAGGCTGCTCAGAGCAGCCACAAAAAGCCATGCTCTGTGCCTGGGAGGATGCTTTTCTGAGTTCCCATAACAGACCTGAAGAAGACCAACGTGACCAGATTCTAATCTACAGCAGAGTTAAGGACCTCTGTTAGAGCCCACTTTTTCCAGAGATGGTCAGAAGGAGCAAGACAGCTTCCCATTGCCTTGGAGGCTGCTTCTACCAAACAGGCAAAGGGGAGGCCACTTCCCTGCTCCCCCAGTCCGGCCCACTTCTTTCCATAGCACAGCTGACCCCAATTTAAGCCGCTCAGGGTGTTTCAGAGCTTCATTACTTGTGAATGCTTTTTTGTGTTGTGCCACTGGCACCAGCACAGCCTGTTCCCAGCCTGTTCCAACAGTTCCCCGATCACTGAGGTGACAGACTCAAAACAAAGCATGGGATCTAAGCAGGTCCTCACTAGGGTCAGGGAGAGGAAGGAAGGGTCCTGGTGGACCTTCCTCCTTGTTCCAGCTTCCCATCCCAGCTTCATGCACACAGCCTTCAGTTGCTGCTCTCCAGAGCTCAGTGCAGAGAGCAACTTGTTTAAAAATAAATATATAAATTTTAATATTTTCAAATTGGGCAAAAACAGACTGCACAGCATTGTGAAAAGGCAGAAGATACAGCTGGGAGATTCCTGGGATACATCAGTGAGGAACAAGCTTGACAACAGACAAAACTCTATATCCTGACTGTGAGGCGGCCAGGCCCAGAGCAGGGAGCTGCAGGTACCAGGGTAGTAAGTGCTGCCAGGGCTGATCCAGTACATCTCCAGTTACCATGAGAGCCCTGTATTTAAGAAAGGGAGGCTTTATTCTGTGGAGCTACTGTGTAACCTGGCAGTCAGAGACTGGTAGCTGAACTGTTCATTGCCCTCACTATCTCCAGCCTATAGATGATGCCAGGCTGAAGTCAGGGAAGAGGCTTAGGTATGTTCTCAAGCAACTTCTCAGCATTATGGTAGGGGAAATAAAAAACAAGAGAGACTGAAGAAGAGCAGCATTCATAGGATACATCAAGCACCCACCTCAGTCAGGAACCTGCCTTCAACCACGGCCAAAGGAAGGAGTCCAGGGAAAAGAGGAAAAATGGGGCAAGAGATGTTCCTCCAGCATCTGAGTTTGCAACTCAAGTGCAAATGAATGAACAAAATACCTCAGGTGTGAGACCAGAGCAGAGAAAAACCTCCTGAGAGCTGAAACCTGCAAAAGTATGCCATGTGGATGGAGATCTTCTGAAAGATGCAATGGCATCTGTTCAAAAGAAACAACCAGGACCAGTATAGCAAGTATCTACAACATGACCAGTAAAGGCAGTTGCTTAAAGACACTGCATGCTTGAAATACATCAAACGAAGCTCTGTGGCACAGTGTTTCCTAATGGGAAGTAGCAGCCTGGGGTCTTTCAATGAAATCCCACATAATTTGGAGAACAACTCCTCAGTAACCATGGCTGCTTTCTGCAGGGTGTCATCCAGAGCAGTCACCCTAGCAAGCAGTTTTGATAGGACTCTCTTCCTCCATCCCACCAGCAGAGCCATAACTTAGCTCTGCTGCATCTCTGTCAAACCTTCACTTCATCTGCAGCCACAGCATTGCTCCATATTTCTATTTACAAATCACACCTTCATCACTGCCAGAAGGGCAACTGCCTATTTTCCCAGTGACAACAAACACAGTTACTGATGTTGGCCCTGGCTGCTTTGAACAAAGACTAGAAACTCTCATACATCCATGCAGGAGGTCCAGTCCTGACTAAAGAAGAGGGCAAAACTCAAAAGCATCCTTAGAAATACCCACAGTCAGCTGAGCTTGTTCTTGCTGTCAAAGGGTAAATTTTCCTATTTATTATGCATAACATTAATGTTTCATTTTTCTGTAGAGTGCAACATTCAGATTTCTCTATAATAATTTTACGAGTAGCCTCCTGTGTCAGCCAGTGGAAAACTATTAAAAAAGCAGTGCTTCAAAAACAGGCCAGAATAACACAGGCCAAAACTCAACAAAACAGCTCATGTTATTGAAACAATAAAAATCAGGCTCCCATTGCAAAGTAACCCATGTTTCTTTCTTTTCTCCTGACAGCATTAACAAATCTATGCAGGTGTTCTGCAGGTGACTATGTGGGGGGAAATGTGGCTAAGCAGGCACTCACCCAATCTGCTGTCATGAGAGCAGGTGATAGGGGGACACGAGCACCTGAAAGCAGTGCACAGCTTAACCTTCAATGGCAGGGCATAACCAAACAAAAAACTGCTGCCTCCATGTCCTCCAAAAAGAAAAAAAGAGGGTTGTTCAAACTGCTACAGAGACTGCAAAGTTCAGCTTCGAATGCCAGTCACAAGCCATCTCACCCATGTGACACAGGCTGCCCCTCCAGCAGATGGGGAAGGGAAAACCAGAAGGTGCTGGGTTACGGTCTTTGCCGTATTATTGCTGTGCCATCACTGTCAGCTAGAAGAATTCACAGTACATTAGAAGCACTGTTGAATTAAAGCTAGACTTTTCAGAACTTAGCAATCCTACACACTCTGTTTCATGGGTGGAAATAACACAGCCCACAATGCCAAGGGCAAGAAATCTCATTGGTTTTGTCCAAGCTGTTCTTTCCTTGTTACTTCAGTTTCTTCCTGTTGTTTTTCTTTTTCTTTTTTTTTTTTACCCCCAGACTTGTGCACCTGCCCTTGATTGAGCAGACTGGTCCTGCAGTCAGTCACTCAACCCAAGTTAAAGGGCTAGGCCCACATTATAGGTCCAAGTAAATACTTTTTTGTAAATACTGCTCTGAAAGTGTGTGGGAAAAGGTAGGTGTTTCTCTCATTGGAAAACTGATTTAATTCATTGTTTTAAGTTTTGTTTGAGTTTTAAGCCACTGCAGAAGTACAGGAAATCTCCAGCACACAATAGAGTGGCCAGCACACGAAAGCACAGTAACTCATTCAGAAATTATCATCTGAAAATTACTGTCATTATTACTTTATTATTTAGAGGCCTTGAGTGCGCTGTCTGAGAAGACAACCTATTCAATCCAGTTACTTCTTATGTGTAAAACTCAATAGCTACAGTCTAGACCAAGAGGACAGCCATCGTGCCAAGGGAAGAGATGCATTTTATATCCTCCTCCATGAAACACTGCACAGGGCACAGAGACAAACACCTTTCTTTCTCAACAGTTACAGCCTGCAGCATTGATCAATGGATTGGTCTTAATAGTAAAACTCTTCAGGCAGATCAACCAGCAATGCAGTAATATCAAATAACTGGTAAGCATCGAGGATAATTCCAGCTCTTGGGGCCTTAACAGAAGAAATGCCTACAAAGGCTTTGCTCTGGCAAGGAAGCCCTTGAGAGGCTGATAGCCCTCACCGGGTTTTAATACAAAACCTCATAGCTTTGTAAGCAATGAACTTAGAGCTCATTGCAGAAGCAGGCCCAAATATGCTGTGTGATTACAGATTCCAGCAGCTGGAAACCAGACATTCATGCTACTTTCAAAGCACCTTAGGAGTAAACTAGACTGCTTTGATCTCAAGCAGGAGTTTATTAAAAAGAACTGAAAGTATTTCTGACTGTGTTTGTCCCAGTCATAAATAAATTGATGTAGTCGCTCTTCAGGAAGAGCAGAAAAATGCTACTTTGTCGGGATTGCAAAAGATTTACCAGCTTTGTCCCTGAAACCAAAGGGTATGTCAGAAATCACCCAGCCCCGTCCAGGCACCAGCTGCATGAGCAGCTGCAGCCTCCCATGACACCAGTTCGATCAGGCTGCTGGGGGTGACAGCTTGGGTTAATTGCAAGGGTGAACACCTGAGCTCAGGGCAGCACACACTGCACAGGGCAGCTTTCACTAACGCACTTTGGTGGCAGAGGAAATCTATTTCCTTTATGTGAGCGGAGAAGATAAACTCCCACTGAGACCACCAGATTTCATAGAACTTTAATGCATTTGCTGGGCTGGACTGAGTAGTAGGGGACAAACAACGTGCGTGTTTGATTCCTCAGTCTTTTCCTAGAAATGCCAGATACTGCAATTACACCTCAAAACTTGTCCTTTCCCCAGTGGACCACTGGGACTGGATAAGCAGTGAGCTCCAGGCACTGTAGGACTCTGCCCAGACAAGCTGTGGGTGCTCTGCCCCTGGAGGTATTCAAGGCCAGGTTGGATGGGCAGCCTGAGTTGGTGCCTGATTTAGAGGTTGGCATCCCTGCCCACAACAGAGGGGGTTGGAACTGGATGATCTTGAGGTCTCTTCCAGTCCCAGCCATTCTGTGATTCTACAATTCTATGACTCTGCTGAGCCTCAGTTGTTGTTTCTACACACAGATCCTTTATTCCTCTGTCCAGACTTCCTACTGACACTGAACTGCTCAGAGACAGGGGCCACATGCTCGTGCAGTACCTAGAATAGTGGAACCTCTGTGCACCATGCAAGAGGAGTTGCAAAGAAATGCCCCAGCAGGACCAGGTAGGTTCAGAACTGGGGAAAAGCCAAGGGCACAGCTAGGCAGGGGGAAGCACTCCAGAACCAAGGTGGAATGGGTGTGCAGTGGATTTGTTGTGCTGGCTCGGGAGAGCAAAGCTTTAAGGTACACATCCCAATCAACAGTCCTGACACCCCTGAAAGCTTTGGCCCTGCCAGATCCCAAGATGACCCAAACAGAGTCACATCCCAGGGCTGTGCCTATGTGTTGTGCTGCATGTCAGAAAGCAGAGGTGACACTAGGCTGCTCATGGGCACCAGTTGCTTTGAGCATGGGATCCCACGTGGACTCAGCTACACTCAGCCTTTGCCTTAGACTGTCACCATCCCTCAGGATGACTGGATACCACTGGTCTCTGGCTGCTGGCCTGGGCCAAGCACTCAAGGTTAACCCTGGCTGTCTTCCCAACACGCAAATTATCAGGAGATTTGTGTGTCAAGCAAATCAGAGCCCATCACCATCTCCCCTGTCAGGAGCTGAAGCCACCAGGCTGTGACTGCCTGCCTGACAGCAAGCCCATACAGCGAGGGGCAGGCAGGCCCAACCTGCCCAGAAGTAGGAAGCAAAACTCTGATCTTTCCAGCATAGATGAGTCACTTCCCACCAGGCTATTAAGTTATTAAATTGTATTATTATATTAACGTCATTGCCATTTTCAGGAGAAGATAAACTTAATTTTAATCTGCTCGTAATTGAAAGCTTATCAAGAGACTGGCTCCATCCCTACACAG